TCTTTCTTTCTTTCTTTCTTTCTTTCTTTCCTTTTTCTTTCCCCGTCCCGCCCTCCTTCTATCTTTCCCTCCCTCCCTCCTCCCTCCTTCTTACCTTGCTTGCTTGGTTCTTTCTTTCTTTCTTTCCTTCTTTCTTTCCTTCCTTCCTTTCTTTCTTTCATCTTCTTTCTTTCTTAACTTCTTTCTTTCTCTTTCTTTCTTTCTTTCTTTCTTTCTTTCCTTTTTCTTTCCCCGTCCCGCCCTCCTTCTATCTTTCCCTCCCTCCCTCCTCCCTCCTTCTTACCTTGCTTGCTTGGTTCTTTCTTTCTTTCTTTCCTTCTTTCTTTCCTTCCTTCCTTCCTTTCTTTCCTTCTTTCTTTTCTTTCTTTTCTTTCTTTTCTTTCTTTCTTTCTTTCTTGCCTGCCTCCCTCCTTCCATCCTTCCTTCTTTCTTTCCTTGCTTGCTTTTCTTTTTTCTTTCTTTCCTCCTTTCTTTCTATCCTTTCTTTCATCTTCTTTCTTTCTTAACCTTTCCTTTTCCCTCTCTTTCTTTCTTTCCTTTTTCTTTTCCCATCCCTCCCTCCTTCGATCTTTCCCTCCCTTGTCCCTCCTTCTTTCCTTGCTTGCTTGGTTCTTTCCTTTCTTCTTTCTTCTTTCTTTCCTTCTTTCTTTCCTTCCTTCCTTCCTTTCTTTCTTTCTTTCTTTTCTTTCTTTTCTTTCTTTTCTTTCTTTCTTTCTTTCTTGCCTGCCTCCCTCCTTCCATCCTTCCTTCTTTCTTTCCTTGCTTGCTTTTCTTTTTTCTTTCTTTCCTCCTTTCTTTCTATCCTTTCTTTCATCTTCTTTCTTTCTTAACCTTTCCTTTTCCCTCTCTTTCTTTCTTTCCTTTTTCTTTTCCCATCCCTCCCTCCTTCGATCTTTCCCTCCCTTGTCCCTCCTTCTTTCCTTGCTTGCTTGGTTCTTTCCTTTCTTCTTTCTTCTTTCTTTCCTTCTTTCTTTCCTCCTTTCTTTCTTTGCTCCTTTCTTTCTTCTTTTTCCTTCTGTTTCTTTCTTCCTCTCTCTCTCTTTGTTTCTTTCCTTCTTTTCTCTCTCTACCCTTCCTTTCTCTTCCCTACTTCCCCTCCTCTTTCCTTCTCTCCCTCCTTCTTTCCCCTTCCCCTTATACTTCTGCCTCCCCTCCTGCTTTCCTTCCCCTTCCCTCCTTTCCTTTCTTTCTTCCCTCCCTCCCTTTCTTCCTTCCCTCCTCCCTTCCCCTCCTCCTTGTACTTCTGCCTCCCCCTTCTGCTTCCCCTCCCCCTCTCTCCCTCATTTCCTTCCTTTGTTTCCCTCCCTCCCTCCCTCTCTTCCATCCTTCCTTTTCTCCCTCCCTCCCCTCCTCCTTATACTTCTGCCTCCTCTCCTGCTTTCCTTCCCTCCTTTCCTTTCTTTCTTCCCTCCCTCCCTTCCTTCCCTCCTCCCTTCCCCTCCTCCTTGTACTTCTGCCTCCCCTCCTGCTTTCCTTCCTTCCTTCCCTCCCCTCCTTCCTTCCTCTCTCCCTTCCTGACCTCCTCCAGATAGTCCTCAACCTACAAGAGGTCACGAAGTTACGACCTACCCCAGAAAGTGGGGTGCCTGGAGGTAGACATGGAACTGGGGCCGGTAGATCCGAGCTGAGCTTGGACAGGCGTGACCCCAGAAGGGGGACCTCAGCTCCAGCAACGGGAGCCTCCCCCGCCCCCCCCCAACCAGCCGGCGTAGCCTGTCCTGACCAGCCCCTCTCTCTGCCCCATAGCTGAAGCAGATGGAGCTGCAGCTGGAGGAGGCCTACGAGGAGAGGCAGAAGGTCCTGCGGGAGAAGAGAGAGCTGGAGAACAAGCTGGTGGCCGTCAGCGACCAGGTAGCCCTCGCCAGTCCCTCGCCCGGGGAACTCTGACAGCCTTTTTCATTGCTTTGAGCCTCTGCTACAGGAATCTCCCCATCGGGAAAGAGGCAAAATTAAGCTCATTGGGTGGGGGGAAGGCTGCTCCGTTTGTGGAAACGCAACGATTCCAGGTTACTTCCCCACATGACGCCTCCTCCCAAACGGGACGGTTGCTCTCCAACATCCCCCAGGGTGGGGTTCCCCCAGGGAGGGGCCCGAGGCACCCCCCCCCAAGGACAGACCTCCCATCCCTTCTCTGCTCCCTTCCCTCCTCCCAGGTCAGCCAGCGGGACGTGGAAACGGAGAAGCGGCTGCGGAAAGACCTCAAACGCACCAAGGCGCTCCTGGCCGACGCCCAGGTCATGCTGGACCACCTGAAGAACAACGCGCCCAGCAAGCGGGAGATCGCCCAGCTGAAGAACCAGGTGAGGCACCTGGGTCCGACACTCCGAAGGGAAGGGGGTCTGTGGGGAGTCTCCACCCTCCAGGCCACGGTGGTCCCGAGGGGCTTCTCGGCTTCTCATTTCGCTTCTCATCCAAGAAGCTTCTTCAGAGAGAGAGAGGGAGAGGAGAGGGAAAGAAAAA